CTTCATAATTACTTTTACGGAACTTTGAGTTACAATGTACCAATCTACCAAAACGTGATCGCGCAATCCTGGCTGTTTCTTCTACAAACATCACTAATTGTTCAAAGATCGGCTCCCTACCGGTAATCATGATCCTATCAGCAGCTTCCACCCATTTATTCTGTAATTCTAGGGGTAAACGTGACACAATTATTTCCAGATTAGCCGTAGAATTCACATCAGACATATACCCCATTTCATTCAATGTTATGCATACATTACGTAGCTTAATTGCGAAATCAGTTAGGCCATCGGCGGATCCTTCAACAGATTTATCGCTAAGTAATTCAGTAATAAGATTACGAGCGACGAGATGTTTTTTACCAAATAGATCATACAAAATTTGTTTAGCTCTATCGTAACCCAAGTGACTTGGCAAGGAAATACAAGCTTCAATAGGCGTTCTGACAACAACTGGCCCTTGTCAGACAGTTTACTCTCCATAATGCTTGTAAAATGGCTAATAAAACGGTGGTACTGGCTTGGTTGTCCGTCAAAAAACTTCATATCGATCTTAGGTAAAACCGTATTATTAACCGTAGCACGTAACGTATCCTTTAATTCATCAATCCAATCGCATTTTGAGGTGTTGAATACCTCCATGGAATGCTTATTACGCGTAATGTCACAATCCAAGTAACTTTCCACCTTGGCATTTATCTCAGATTTGTCTACTGACAGTCGGTTATCGTTTTCTATGACCTTACATTCTAATTCGGCCAAATCAACCTCCTCTTGAAGATCTGACATTTTAAACTGCCTTTCTAACACAAGTCTCCTTTCAAAATTCTTCTTCTTTAGTAATGCCTTATCTAACCTCAATCTAGAAGTACTAAACTGAGCTGAGGACTTACTATTAACGCTAATATAGTCACGTTTATCATCATTAATATCAGACATACCACAGACAGCTTCAGAATCTTTACTATCCATTTCGTCATTTTCCTTCGGCTTTTTGCTTCTGGTTTCCATTGTATGCCTTTGTTCAAAAATCGGTTACCAAGCAAATGTGAATTAATTCAAACGAATTCGACAAAGAATACCGAAAATTAGAACCAAAATGTCCAGACATATCCAATGTATGACAACAGAATTAAAATTGAAGAACTTTTGTTACGTCCAAGTTTTGCTCCTTCCTGTTATTGAACTACAGTATGTCGATCTATTTGCAATTCACGAACCCAAATTAACAACAGAACCAAATTCCAAAGTTAGGTACCAAATTTATTCGCAATCCTACACCGGTCCGCAAAATCCCTCCATGCAAAACAAGCCCTTTCTAACACTTAAACTTAGGGTTCACTCTCATCCCCTAATCCACACCGGAAGAACGAGTAGGACTTACAGCAGTAAGCCTACCCACCTATCAAGCTAACTATGTACCTGTACCTTCCCAGTGAAATTAACGATATTTATATAAAGGTTGTAATCAGCAAAATGTCTTCACTTCTGCCGTAACACTTATTACTCTCCACGTTGCAACTAACTGATCTCCGTTCTGGTAATGTGACAGCTGCCAGTACCCAGAAATCCTACTGCCCTGAAACAAACGTTTCATTCAAATCCCGAGACATACAAACTCACAACCAACTGCCTAGAATTAGATAGTCGAGTGGCTAGACCTCCATCCATTGGACATTACCGAACACCTAGAACCGTACCTAAAGAACAAGAATCATGCACAAAGAAATCAAATGGTTCACACTAGCTCGTGAAAAATAAATTGGATATTGGATAAGGAACTTTCTATCTATAAAGACCAAATCTAGATGCTTTCCTAAAAGCAGCACTAATTCACAACAGGTTATTCATATCTCAGAAACCTAGTAGTACCTTTCGAATGCTGGTTCTCTCTCAAAGATGATAATTTTAGTATTGATGTAGCTTCCATCGTTTTTGTTAAGGCTTTTGAGAAACGCCCTCACAACTGGCAGTTATATAAGTCAAGTGATATTAGGACTGGAGAAGACTAATCAATAATGGATAAATTGTTTCCAAGTTAGGAGTGGAAGTAGTGTGCCAGTTAATTCTTAGTAGTCTGCCTATAAACGTGTAGTTAGTACAGAGTCTCAAGATACAGTTTAGGGACCAATGTTGTCCATCATATGAGTAAATTTCCTTCCTAGTCTCACATCATTGGTTTCATTTTGTGACGACACTACAAAGATTTGGAGAGGGAGATAACAGAAATATTGATGGTATTTCAGCCTCAGAATGACCTGAAGGAATCATCTGATGGTATAGAGTTTATAAGTTGTCGATAAATGCTTTCGAGTGTATCGAAATATTTAAACTGGTCAACAAAGTGCAGATACACGCACAGTGATTCATAAAAAATCGTCAACAAATGGAATACGTACATCAATGTACAAGATCCCAGCAAATCTCTTCAGTTTCCTGTAACCTACCCAAGTGAAATTGGAGAAATTTAACTTTTCATCAAAACCAAATAAGGTGTAAGTTTTTTTGATTACCAAATATATTTTTTTCGTGATATCTACGAGATGTGCTTTGTTGTTTGAGTACTTCTTCTTTGAAGGCCTTTTACCTTCGATTTCGAAAGCGCTTTATTAAAATTACGAAGTACGGAATGGTTTGATGCCTCGTGCCATCAGCGTCTAATTCCGATTACCGGTTTTATCACAATACTAGCTTGTGTTATTTCAGATTGTTGTCAGTTACTTTCTTTAACCAAAATCAGATCTTTCTTTTTGCTTACTGAGTCATCAGTTCTCTATTTCTCTTTCATTTTCCTCTTATAGACAACCTCACTTTGTTATCTTCACATTCCCAAGGACACAAGGTATTTCCAGGTGGAACAATAACTTGTTAGAGGCTGAAATTAAAATGCCTACTAAGCGTCCTTCATTGGTCACTCAGAAAGGGCCGAATTCATTCAAAAAACCAAGGTATTTTCCGTACAGTTGTTTTGTGAAACATTCTGTATAGTACTTGTAATTATGTTGATATTTTTAAAGTGGGAACTGTTTCTTATTCAGCTGTGGCATCTAGCTAAGTCCACGATGGGGTTTGTAACGTTCTATAATAACAACTTTTTTATTTCTGAATATTTTGTTTTCGTCGACTCGGTTATATCAGATCCAATTCTCTGCCTTTAGTAAGTTTCAGTGTTTTCCGAAAAATTTCATGTTGTTTCGGGGAAAACCGTAGACCGAAAATCTTAAGGCTTTTCTGTCACATTTCCCCAAACTCGACTGATATGACTTCCTAAACACCCCTAAAGTTTATCTCGAAGTCGTTAAAAACGGGGTTCTAGATCGGATACAAATAAAAGCAAATGCTTGATGTCATTCTGTGTTTAATAATTTAGCTTAACTTGTGTGCTTAATCGTTAACACTTGAATTGTATTTTCCTCAAGGTTGACACAGAACAACCAGCAAATGTTATTCTTGCATGTTTTGTATTTTCAATGCAGTTGGACGGACGGTTTTGGTTGTAAGTGATCCCATCTTGTATGACAAATTTGTTTTAATCATGTAACTGATGATCCGTAATGATGAAAACATGTGATATTCGTGTTTAGCTGATGATTTCTTCGATTAGAGTTATGGAGATCAGCGTTTTCACATGTTGAAATCGTCACTCAATCATTGTCAATAGAAGTTCGTCTAAGCCAATATTAGGGAAGTAAGTTTTACCTGTGTAATGTGTGTCATTGTGTGACAGAAATAAAAAATTTGATGATTCATAGATTCCATTGTTATAACTTATCGTGTCTAGATGAATAGATTATTTAAACTTACATGAATTTACTGGCAAGATCCACTTCACATCATCTAAAATGTATAATTCTTTCCACTCAGAGGTAATCATGATGATACCCCGGAGCCTTCGAAGTTCGAGCAAGAATTAATGTTGTTGGATGATATTGAAACTGAAGATATAGCTTTAGTAGACGAAAGTTCTGCTTTATCTCATTTGGACTTTCTGACAAATTCGCATTGGCCAAGACGTAAACTAGAAAAGTTGGATCCAAAAAAAGACAATATAATTTTTCAACAGTTTGATGTGTCACATTATAAGGTTAGTTTGTATTAAACGCCAAATATATTGTTCAGTCTTTTTTCAAGTTCAAGGATTATAATTATTATCGATAGGTAGTTTGATGGATTAGACTATTCTGGTTTCTAATTTTTCATGTTCGTCGTTCGTGAATCAACATCGCTTGTCAAATTATTATCTGAACATAAACCAAGTTTTATGCTGTTTAGTTAGTTTGAAACAGTTCTGTTGGTACTTGTTGCATTATTTGTACTCTTACTCTGTGTAAAGCAAAACTGTTCAGCATACTTGAACAAGGTAGTTTTCACAGTATCTGAGTGAATATGTATTCTAAGTTAAAATTAATTTCTGCCTCATCTTTTAGTAATCACATGAAGCCCCTCTGAATTTCACTACATTCATGTATCCCCTTTTTGTTTCTGTTTCTTGATCCTATGTTCATTTATGATTTTTCTGATTGGTTGATAAATTGGGTCAATGTCGATGCGTTTGTTGATTGCTCATTGACTTGAGTGCGCCAAGATTCTAAAAATTCTCTAGTGTTCTTTGTCCTTCCTCTATCCAGTATTTCCACATTGTTCCAATCGAATGTGTGTCCATAATTGTCGGTGTGCATTGATATAAGCGAAGCGTTGTCGTGGCGTTTAACTGCTAATTGATGTTCACGTAAACGAAGCTGAAGAGGCCGTCCACTTTGTCGTCCTATGTAGTGTATCTGTCTGTTTGTCTGTAGAAAATCCCAAATCGAGCAATATTTAAAGACGGAAAAGTGAATAATGTCGCCCTAATAACTCTCTCTATATCTGTAATCACTACCGATTCTAGTATACTTTGAATAAATAATAAAACCGTCCTTCATTAGGTCACGAAAAAAAAGCCTCAACGATTATTAGGACAAAAATATCAATTGAAATGTAGATTTTGTCTGACGTATCTCAACAGAATAAAAATTTTACTGAGTAAACAATAAAACTTAAGCAAAAAACACAGCAGCCATTCTGACTATTTCAATTAGTGAAAGATCTGTTTCTATAGATTTCGGATCGCATAAACTTTTTCGATTCATAGAAATACTTTCTATCAATACTGATTGTACTTTGGATCTTGTATTGATTGATCGGTCGATCAATCAATCATAACATATTGTGAACAAAATTTTAGGGAGTACAATTAATCAGTCATGATTAGAATACGATCTGGTGTGATGTACACTACTGCAACGTGGTCTAGAAATAATATGCAAAGGGGCACCTAAATATTATAGTGCGACATAAGTCAATACATTTGTATGTAGGCTGGGATGCTGACCAGCTCTGTCTGAAGCAAAGCAGGTGGCATTTTTCTGGTTAGCGAACCACTCCCCGCCTTTCACCTATAAATCTAATAATCCCTACGGAATGGATCCTTCGTACACACACAACAGCCAGGTTGAAGTCCCAGGCGTACATCTAAATTTTGTACTTTCAACTTCATAAACAACATGCTAGCTGTGAGAAGGCAGTGAGGCATTTCGAGAGGAAGAGTATGCTCTCTCCAATCTCGAACATGCTAAGGCATTGGAGAGGAAGTTGTGACGTCCGCGATAAGGAGAGAACGAACCTTCATGGATCCGCTACCGATTGACGTGATCAAGCTCGCTGTGGTAGGTCACATTGTCTATGTTTTTATTCTGCATAGAACGATTTTTCCCATGTTTAACAAGTACTTCATGAAAACAAACCACCAATGATTAGAAGAAGAATGTTTATATTGTCAATAAACAAAGGCAAAGTCACAAAAACAAAAGAAAATATATTGATGATCGACTATTTCACTGCAAAAAAGGAAAAATAACTCAGTAATTTTATATCATAATGCTGTCGTCGTATTCACACACACACATACACACAAATGAAATTCTACACGCAGTACAAAAAATGTATATATGTATATATATATATAAGAGGATTGATGTGAGAATAAGTAAAAATAGAAAAATCACAGGCATTAAGAAAATTTTGTGATTGATTTTGGTGCATTTCAAAGTAAGATTATTAGTTTTCTTGACTGTTGAGTAGCGTAGTGAGTGAATTCGATTCCAGATTGTCGGTATGTGGTATAGTAGTGATCAGAGGGGTTGTTTTTTGTTTGTTCGTGAATTTTGCTGACATGTTAACAAGAACAAGCAGAATATGATGATGTGTTCGGTTGATTGGATTGAAACGATACACCTTGTGGTGGTTGTGACAATGAATTGGCTGACAAGAATTCCGGATCTTGAAGTATCTAAATATTAGGTTGGTTTTTTTCCAAAATATGTATGATATAAATCTTATGTTAAACACAAACTAAAGAAACGTTTTAATGTGACATACAGAATATATATATATATATATATATATATATATATATATATCTGTAGCAAGTGAAGTTATAATACTTTTGATGATTAAGTCTGATGAAGAAATGTCTAGAAACTAATATAAATCAAGATAACTCTTTCTGTAATTATATATATATATATATATATATATATATACATATATATATTCCAAGGCGGTTTGAATGTCCAACAAATCGATATGCCGTTTGGTACACTTTTTACTGATAGAAACTGTTAGGAAACCTATGAACAAACAAACTTGAGTGAAATTTCCAAGTCAAGAAAAACAACTACAACTAGGCGACCACTTATTGAGCTTTGGAACCCACAGATCTGGTTCATAAGGCAGCGTGGGGCAATGTCAGGAGATGCAGTTCCATGGTATTTGCACACCATTTGTTAGGGGATGTAGAAAGGATTTGATTGTGACTAGTTTGGTCTGGTGTGCTATTACGGTTATGACAGCGGATATCACTACCCGGCTGCCCACACCTTAGAAGGTTGTTTGTTTCTTGAGGAACCTGCAAACGAAGTTAGATCAGCATTGGTCTTTGAGACCTGGGAGCGTGACCACAGAGCCAAGGGGACAACTGGTTGAGGCCCGTCCACCGGAGACGGAAATCTGTGAGGTAGGGTGAGGTGTGACATTTGTAGGGTCAACCTTTTCTAACATCTTTCTTCCTTGTGAGAAGGCAACATCAATGCAGATGCTGGTTGTCCGAGGGAAACAACTTACTGCTGTCACACCCCTCTACAGTCAGTCAACAGTACGTCTTCACCCTCAGACCTTGAGTAGCTGATTTTAGTCTCATCGTTCTCCAATTGACCTGCCTGGCATAGTAGAACCTACGGGAACATATGTTCCAGCCAATATAGCTCGTTTGGGTCATCACAATAGACAAGCCCGATCACCGAGTCAACGTAGCAGCTAAGGTTGGGGATAGGATAAATCACGAAACAAACAAACATTTAATACGATAATTGTTAATTACACTGAATAATCATACTCGTCTCAATTATGCATATATATATATATATATATATATATAAGCACACACTAATGAGTGTAAAAATAAGACATACTTTACGAACAAGTTCTTCAAAAGCATGACGAACATTTTCACTTGTTTTTGCACTGGTTTCAACAAAAAGTGAACCCAATTTTCGAGCTAAATTTGAACCTTCTTTTTTTGAAACTATACGATCATTCTGTAGATTAGATTATCTCTAAATAGAATTTCAATCTAACTAACCAAGTCAATTTTATTGCCAACAAGCATTTTTAATAGTCGACTACCACAGAATTGTTCTGTTTGTTCTGCCCAATATTCTATTCCAGAAAGACTTTGTACAGAAGTAACATCGTATACTACAAATGATACAGGAGAATAAATTTATACAGACACTTTTACCATAAAGAGCTCCATGAGCATGACGATAGAAAGAAGGAGTTAAATAACCACTGTAACGTTCAGCACCGGCTGTATCCTAATGAAACATGAAAATAAATAGTCTTGTAATGTCTATGGTACGGTATTTACCCATATATTAAACTGAATTGTTTTGCCATCTACAATTGTTTGATAAGGTTTAAAATCGAAACCGATTGTCGCCGCTTCATTCTGTATAAATCGGTCATCAACAAATCGACGAATTAAGCTATACGTAAGAAAGTAATTAGCGAAAGCTAAATGTCATATATGAAAAAATACATACCTAGTCTTTCCTACACCTGAATCACCTAACAGAATTATTTTAATTCTTATCGATTCTTCATCAGTCATGGTTTAAATATCTGTAAAAGTACAAAAAAAAGTTAACAGTGATAGTACTGTAAATAATATTAGCCATAATGGAATTCACTTACACAAAATGCAATATGTTAGTTGCGAACGACTTTCATCAAATTTTAAGGAACACTGGTGTCATATCAGTAAATTAAAAAAACCTAAATAGTTACAATCTATTTGTTCTGTTTACACACGAAAGTTGTTTTTCTGTTAAGTAAAATAGAGCTGAATGTTGCGTAGTGTAGTCACTATTTCGATACGTTGGCGGATTATTTAGGTTCGATTTTAGAATAATATAATTTGAGAAACTGAAACTAGTCTGTCGTACTGGTGTGGAGATTCTGTCACAAATTCAACAAAGTATGAGTTTATCAATCAACCTGTTGAATCACTGTACTTTTTAGTATGGCACATGCCAAGCCACTGGTAACTTTTGCAGTTAGCATAGTTGACAAACATGTCATTTTATCACAAAATTTATTTGAAAGATTACATTTTGTGAAAATTTCATTTCATCTCTGTTATAATTTGTTATAACAAATAAAAATTGTAAGATTTTGTCTGTTGACCATCTGAATTAATTTGAGTAGAGTGGAATTATAATAACTATTTATACATCGTTCAAGGTCTCTAACCACCGGTGACTATCGTCTCGCGGACCCCAACCAGGTAGCCTACATCTACCAACATGACTCAGTCCACTTGTCAGTGACTTCATCGATTTCTTTCATGTTTTGGTTTGGCCGCCCCTAGCTTTCTTCCAATCTACTCCTACACTGCAAAACATAGCTCGTCGCTGCATTGTTTTTCTATTGACCATCTGAATTAATCTGAGTAGAGTGGAATTATAAGAACTATTTATACATCTGGATTAGTAATGCAAAATGCACAAAGTGGAATGAATGTCCAAAGAGTAAGTAACTCATTAATAATCAACAAAATACATTCGCTTTATACAGATTAACTGATGAACTTTTATACAAAACAACCTATACATAATAAGTATGTCTAAAATTTATTTAAAGCATGAATGAGTAGGTTATTCACGAAATTAAGGTTTGATCACTTGGGTTAGTGTCTACCAAATTATTCATTAAATAGAACTGTTTTGTCAACTCATTAAAAGTTGACGAATCTTTAAATATGGATTTTAGCAAGGGGATATTGATCTCAAAAGAGAATGGCCTTAATTTCAAAGTAAATTCTTGTATGGCAGCGAGAAGTAAAACCTGCATACCTACACTTAAATCAGATTGTATACACATTACACCTCATAACAATTAAAATCTGTATTCCCGTATAATATAACTGAGCTCTCGTTAAGCCTTTAATCCATCACATATCTCTCTCTACTCAATTTTTCATAGATGAATTTTACTGACCCACGGCTTTACTGATGTAATAAGTGAGCAATTGCATCATTGCACGTTTGAGTGAAGCCATATGTTGATTACGCACTTATATACCTTTATAGCTTCAAACACAGTTCGTTACCCTCCTACTTTTAAGAACTTCCTATTACAGTGCTGATTCTTTATTTCCGTCTAATACGAACGATGTTAGGCTATGGCTAACCAGATACTAATAGAGAGTATTAAAAGTAATTTTAAGATAGCTTTGTACTATGTCTAAGACTAAACGAACCAAACGCGTAAATGTAGTTTTCTCGCTTAGTGTTTTGTAAATTGTATGATATTAGGCAATTTAGGTTATAAAATCACAGAGGTTACATTTGATGTCACTTGTGCTTCTTCTTGATATAGCCATGAGGTGATAACTTTTAAGATGTAGTAGAGAACACCACGATTTTTTACCGTATCTTTAGCTTATTCATCCTAAAATGTACCACATACTCATGTAGACCTAACGTAGATCAGAAGACAGCTTATTTACGGAAGTATATGGCCATGCACTAATTGAGCAACTGCATACAGTTTTTCGGAAACAAAATTTATCGGTGTATTAGTCCTTGGATACACTCACCAATAATTAAGCGTTCCTACTATTTTCAACGGTTTTAAATTTAAGCATACTATTTTCCCTCTATCTGCTTGATATGCTGTTTTAGATTGCAACTATTTACAACATTGGAAACTAATATAGGACTGCTTCATTCAACTAAAGCATATGAAAAGGAATAGAGTATGGATAATTAAGTGATTGAAGACAATTTTAGGAGACAAGTTTTTCAATAAGAATTGACATTAGTTATAATGCAGAAAGACTGGAGTTAAGTATTTGATCTTGGGCTACGGTTGAGTTAGGAATGGTCATAGTACTCATCACTAACTGTTATCAGCTAAAACACAGTAGTGATCTTTCATCGACCTGTTGATGAACTTGTGAAATATTAGGCTAAGATTTAGAGTTACGAATCAAAAGGGAGAATAATTCTGAGGATTACAGACATCCTTCATTACATTGTAAATACGTCTGTATTTAATTATATCATGTAATTCCACGAACAATTTGCATTGAAAGAATGTGCTTTGTATGATTAAGCATCATGTCATCTTTTTAATGTGGTCACATACAAAGAATTTTCTAGAATTACGTATTTTAAAAACTATATATGGCTCTGGAGTGTTCACGGAGATATATATTATCTATCGCTGAAAAATGAGTCTTAAGAACATAGAAAGAGACTTTTAGAACTGACTGATTCGCTGGAGGCTATCAGTATCATACGATCTTACTCTCGTCAAGTTTTCGAATTAATTTAAAATTACCAACAAATAATGCGCTAGGAACACCGAAACAAAGAGATACTGAAATTAAGGTTTTTATCATGCTTTAATATGCACTATTTGCTAACTTCTCAGAAGTCAAAAGTCAATCAAAGTAAATATCATAAACTAGAACAGTAATGTACCAAACTTCTTGAACGCACCGCGTTTAGTTTCAATATCCAATATCTTTTTCACGAGCTAGTGTAAACCAATTTGATTTCTTCGCGCTCGATTCTTGTTCTTTAGGTACGGTTCTAAGTGTTCCGTAATGTCCAATGGATGGAGGTCTAGCCACTCGACTGTCTAATTCTAGTCAGTTGGCAGTTGGTTGTGAGTTTGTATGTCTCGGGTTTTGAATGAAACGTTTGTTTCAGGGCAGTAGGGTTTCTGGATACTAGCAGCCGTCACATTACCAAACCGGAGATCAGTTAGTTGCAATGTGGAGAGTAATAAGGGTAATAAGGATAAATTAAAATGATAATATGAATAAAATTTCAGAACTGAGTTATGTATAGATGAATTTAGTTTATTAATTGGTTGTGAAGATTGTGAGAGAGGACCGAAGTGTAAGCAAGGGAGAGGAATAGGCGAGTTAAATTAATTAAGTGATCTGAGGAGATGGCAATGGTAACAACTAGCAGGTCTCAAGATATGCATCATGAACAGCTTGTCCAAGAGGGAGATGATAGTCCGCATGTGAGTACGTGATTATCAAGTCTCTTCTTAAAGCAGTCCACTGAGGGGGCTGTAACTACCTCGGCTGGGAGAGCATTCCAAGTTGCGACGACTCGCAATGAGAAAAAGTGTGCACGAATCTGAGTGTTTGCTCTTTGATGTGCAATCTTTTGAGGATTGCCTCGAGGGGAGTGGTGGGGATGCATCGGTAAGATGCTCACATTTGGATGGTTGGGCGTGTTTAATATGGTGTACACCACAATCAGGTCACCTCTGATTCTCCTGTAGCTCAGTGGGAATAATCCCAAGAGCTGGAGTCTATCGTCGTAGGGTTTATTTTTCAACCCTATCACCCATTTGGTTGCTCGTCTCTGCACTCGATCCAAGAGATTAATGTCTCTTTTAAGCAGAGGGGGTGAGATGACGTTGTGAACCTCCAAGTGTGGGCGCGCGTACGTCTTAAAGAGGGTTAAAAATAATTTCGGGGTGATAGCACCAAGCTGTCTTCGCATAAAATGAAGAGTCGCATTTGCCTTGGCTGCATCCCTTACATAGTTCGGACTCGTGTGGAGGCTTTCTGTGGTTATTAAACCAAGATCGCGCTCTGAGGAGACATTAGGGAGCGGACTTCCATTGAGAAAGTAGGTGGTTTGCGTCATATGAGTCAGGAAATGCATGACGTGGCACTTCGGTTGGTTAAGTTTTAAACCGTTTTTCACTGCCCATTCCTCAATGGATGTAAGGTCCTTTTGAAGCTCAGTCGAATCCTCTTCGCTTCTAATGGACCTCCAGATCTTCGCATCGTCTGCGTAGATCAGTGCCGGTGAGCTAACTAAGCTTAGCAGGTCGTCAATGAATATCAGGAAGAGGAGTGGGCCTGGGATGGTCCCCTGTGAAACTCCTGAAGTGGATACTCTCCAACTCGCGTGCACCCTGTTTACCTTGGTGCGAAACTTTCTATTCTCAAGGTAGTTTCTGAGCCAAGATACGAGTGGGTCAGTGAAGCCCATTTCCACAACCTTTTCGATTAGGTGTGCGTGGGGCACTGTGTCAAAGGCTTTTGCAAAGTAGAGAAATATTACTTTCACCGGTATTTTACGGTCCAAACAGGATGTCCAACTGTCCCATGCGATGAGAAGATTAGATGCACATGACCTGCCTTCCCGAAACCCGTTTTGAGCTTCATGGAGTATTTCTTTCTTATCCGTGTACTCCCTCATTTGTTCGTCCACTAGCACTTCCATAACCTTTGATAATATAGGTATTAATGCGACTGGTCTGTAACAGGCTGGGTCCTTTCTATCTCCTCCTTTGAAGATTGGAGAGAGAGTAGCTTGTTTCCATTCCGCTGGGAATTGGTGTGACTCCAGTGAATGCCTGAACAGGTTGCATATCGGTGAACAGAGGGCTTCAGCGCACTGTTGCAAGACTATGGGGCGGATGTTGTCACAACCTGGTGACTTACCTGTGCGTAAGGAGTTTAGTTTCCTTAATACTAGGTCAGGAGTGATACGGATGTTCCCTAAGCCGTCAGCTGGCATTGGGTTGGCATAATACTCTGAACATGTAGGCGCCTGGTTTAATTGATCA